GGGGTTGGATTGGATGAAAGCCTGAGGACAAAATGGCACTGGTTTGGGTCAGCTTCATAGCATTTTGTGGTGAGATACTATAGCACAGAATATGGACCCTTTCTGGTTCTGTCAGCAACAGTATTGTCTCTGATATGGCAAACACCGGATTGAAACTCTTCAAAAGAATTTTTGTAGTGTGTTGGTTTTTGTGTTTCTCAATCACGACAACAGCCAACAGTTGGATAATGGCTTGGATAAATGAAGCGATAATCTTGATCCACAGCAGCATTATGTAACATGCAGCCCCCATTATTAGAAATCATCTATGAGCTGTTTCTAAGTGCATTTCATTCACCTATGTTTTCTTGCTTGGGGATATTAATAGTCTTAGGTTTTACACACAGTGTGTTATTTCACAGCAATCATCATGTTTATCTTTGACACTGTCTTTATCCTCCTAATTAATGCAAATTGTGGCTATCACTCGTGTTTTTAATGAAGGACAAATTTGAAAACTGACTGAATAAAGAAATGCTAAAAGATATTGTCAACCACTGCGGTAAATCCACACGTGTGTGTATGATTTGGTCAATCAGTCTGCTGGTGAAAAAGAACACATTCATTCTCTTTGTATGGGATAGAAATTTTGCCTGAAGAAGTTATAGAGGTGTCCCATAAAATGGGACTATGCTTGTCTAATGGGCAATTTCTGTCATGAATCCACCACCAAGTGATTACATTGACAAAATATAGCCAAAACGGAGTGAACATTTAATCGATATCACTTTGTGACAGCCGAGGGTAATATGCATTGTGTTGTCCAACAGACACAGAACCAAGACAGGAAATAAAATGGATTTCTCCAGGATAAAGTTTTAATTCACCCAGCGAACGCCTCAGACACATATCAAATTCTAAAGCCTGCCTAGTGGATTACGAGTGCACTTTCAGCACATGGGGCAAGTAATGCCTTAGGCAATTGATCCGGTTGGGGCTTGACTAAATAGCCTTGAGGTAGAACCCCCTTGTATGACCGAGAGAGAGAGAGAGCAAAGGGAGCTCATAGGGTTCTGGGTGGGAAAAGAATATGAGAATTAATTTGCTTAAGAAGCTGCAGTGGTCATGGGTGAAGTTTGATTCCAGGGGCATACACAGGATTATCAGCGTGGGGATCTGAAACGCAATGGCTTGGGGGATCTGGGGGCATGCACCCCCAAGCTAATCTAAAAAAAAAAGGACATCAAATCATGCCCGTTGGTGAATTATAAATGCCCACAAAGACAAACCCAATTGTTTTGTGTTTGATTTATTAGTGAAACAATGGTGGGTTCACCCCTGGCTTCCAAGTACAGATTCAATCAATGATTCTCAAGAAAGAAGGTACACATGTTGATGGGTATCAATACATGGACAATGAGTAGAAGCAGTGGAGCCAGGCATGTGCCCACCTATTTGGTAGAATTTTTTTTGTAAAGATAACAATTCTTTCCTTTTCCTACTTTCCATTCTCAACTGGTTATTTGGTAACTTTGAAGATGAAAAATATGACTAAAACTATGCCAGATCTTATTTTGAGCTTCACGTCCATTTTGGCAACCCCCTCCTTGTTAAATACCAAGATCTTCCCCTGAGAAGTAATGAAGGATGATTATAATCAAAGAAAATGATCACAGGACGCAGAAAATTACCAATACATATCAATACAAGGAATTAAAAAAATGCAAAGTCCAAAGTCCAAACTAATTGTATGTTTGTCTTGTGGGACTAAAAGTGTATTTTCAAAAATTGGTTTATATTGTTATTTACCCAACTTTCTTTTAAATGACCAATCCTAAATCTTCACAAATCTGGCATTTAGGTCTTGCTAAATTGAAACAAAATGGAAAACGCTGGTGTAGCATGTTTGAGGATTTTTTTTTCTGTGGTTGAGAATTAGCTTTAAAAAAATGGTACACTGAATATTCTGAGCCCACTTTTTTCCAACTTTCAACTTACAGAAACATTATTGTAATTAAGAATGAAATCTTGGGGCAGAGGAAAGAAAAAGGGGAGGAGAAATGTTCCTCCAGGCAATGAAGCAAAACAAAACTGGAAATCAAGCCAACTGCAACTGCACGGCATATTGAAAAAAAATTGGACCCAACCTAACAAAATGAGTCCTAATTCACCAGAGCCATTTTTAAGTTGCAGGCCTTCATAAGATTCTGTGGAAATTATTGGGAAGCTTCAGCATTTTTCAGCAACATAATGAGCAGTATCACCAGGATGCCAAACTGAATGACTCATCAAAACAAAGAGCCCAGTTTGCTTTCGGTAACCCTAAATGAAACAAAACGTTCCTGATAAATGGCCTTTAGACTCAAGACATAAGACTTTGTGGGATCTAGTCATAACTGTTAAAAATCAAAGGAACAATTCCACAGAGAGAAAGAACAAAAAAAACGGCAAAAGAGAAAGGAAATATGTGATTTCCTCTGCAGTCATCTGATGTCAATGACCGAAACCTAACCTGTGCTCCAATCGCAGCATTTATTAAAATTTAGCTGAGGTGCAGTTATCTGAAGAGCCTTTGCAAACCCTTCGGGCAAATCATGTAAGTGGTGGGGGGGGGAAGGCTTTAATTAAGACTCAGATGAAGCCAAGGTAGATGTACACTTGGGTTGGAAATGGAAAGAATCCTGAAATAGATAAAGGACATGTGACCAATGTTCAGTGTTATTCCAGATTTGACAACTATAACTAATATCAGACGTACAGATATATATTCCATATGCTTTAAATGGTCATGATTTCAGCTATGAAAGAAGAATTTTGACTATTGCTCTTATTCAGAACGATGTTAATATTTATTTATAATTCTTGGTTTTTCACAAATATTGCCTTGAATTATGTTTCTAAAGCATCTTACAAACATTCTGCATTATTTTCTGCTTACTTTTGTGGCCATGGTAGGGTCCATTTAAGCCAATTTGTTCATGTTCAATGGACATTTCAGGACAGAAGTGAGAATTAAGTGATAAGCCTATTCCATTGTGAAGATGAACCTGATTTAAAGAAATATCTAACACCAAAGCTTGCTCACTGCAATTGTTGATAGAAGTTGATTTCCTAGACAGAGTAAATATTGCTTTTTGTGCCAAATTGCTGTTTTTACACGGAAAAGACCAGAGATAGCCTCTAGGAAACTAATCAAAGTCTGCTGAATAGTGTCACCTGCCAATAAACACAGCACCATTCAACCTCTCTCCAATTTCCAAACCCCTCCTCCATCCTTCCCTCCACAAGGCACCAATGAATGGATTGAGTTTCTGGCTCTTTAATCTGGGATGCACGCAAAATGTTTCCACCGAGAGAAACAGTAGCTGGCAGATCTAGATTAGGACAAACACAGAAACCTGACAATGATTTTAAATCTGCCCAAACAATGGTGTTTCTTGAAGGTTCCACCACTCATAGCTGTCAGTATGGATATATTGGCTGATTCTCTTTCCGTAAGCTGAGAGGGAAGTGATGGTCCTGAAGAGGAATGGCTCACATTCTCTCCTTACTGAAAACCCATCACTACTGGTTCATGTTTCGCTGGGGCAAGCTATTACCAGTGACAAGTGAACTTCAGTGCACTTTTATCTATCTCTGTATCTTCAGGCCAGGAAAACATTCAACCCAAGAGCTTATGTTTGTTACTGTGCTCAAAGAAATGTTGTGAAGAATTTGAGTGCACAATTCAATTCTACCAGATGAGATTTTCATTTTTAATACAGAAACATAAAATAAAAAAAAAATCAGGCTACAGATGTCCAAAGTATTTACAGTTTCCTTTTAAACCAATAGTGATTTTGTTTTGTTTTTTATCTCAGCAAGCACCAAACCTCTGCATTTTGTTGTCATGATTTTAGCAAGACCACCCGAATAAAAGTAATCCTGTCATTCCACTGATTCATTTCTACTTTTTAAAAACTACTAGTTCTGTTGAATCTGACTTGCAATTTCTGTTTTGATTTTCCAGATGCCTGACCACTTACTGAACCACAAAATACTTTTCTCTTTTCTATGCCAACACACTAGATCTGGCAACTCCTTTGCGTGTGACTGATTTGAGGCTTAAACTGTACAAAGACTCAGCAACTCTCCTATCAACAATAGGCCAACAGTGCTCCAAATGTCAAATATGCCCAAATATTATCCTGGCATTGTTGGACTGGACGTGAGCAATTCTGTCATACAATGGCAAAAACCTGGGCGGGCAATGTCTACCAAATTCTTACTCAGTTCTGTTGACAGCAAAGCTGAGGGTTTGCCCTAACAAAAGGGAAGCAAAATGCCAACTTGATTGTCAAAATAGCTCTATATTTGGCTAAAAAGTAGTTCAAGAAATCTGGATCAACTCTACATGTATCTACACTCCAGAGAGAGGTGCATTCAACTCAGCAAATGGTAATTTACATTTGGAGAATCTGTATGCAGAAATAAAACTGGATGAGATTTTCAGATAATTATCAATGTCCATGGTCGAACTAAAAGGTATTTAATTTCAATAATAGTTGCAGTTACAAGTAGGTCTGATGTCAGTTTTTGTGTGGATATGCTGCTGCAGTATGGTATTTTCATATGTACATGTACACTGGTTTATGTACAATGTGCATGGAGTGAACCAGTTTTCATCTCAATGTGTACAAAAGCTGGATGTTGAATATTCAGCAACCCAGAGGCAATGATATGCAAACATCTGCCATACACATAACCCTCCCTTTCTTGTCACTGCAGGGAGACAGTGTTCACAGCAGGAGATTTGTGTGTATCCAAGGCACTGTATCTGATGAACTTACGTTTTGCAAACAAAGATTTCGACTGTCACATACTATTTCAAGTACATGTAGGCTCTACTTCTGATGACCTTTTTGTACACTCTTTGTGGACTTTAGTGCTTGCTGTAGACTCTTCAAAATGGCTGTAGCATCCTGTTAACAGATGAGTATGTTGGCAGAAAATGCCGCCACAAAACTGGACCTAGAGCTCACCTTGCATTGGAGATGGCACTATGTGGGTGAACCCATTACAATTTGTTGTTGGGAGTGGAAGGCCTGTTGTTGTCTTGGCATTGAGGGCATGCTTCAGTGTCATCATCTCCAAGCTTAGGGTTCTTAGCTGCTCTCGCAGAAGCAGGACTTCATCAGTGGAGGCTGCTCACCAAAAGGGAGAAAACCAACAATGTATTTAGTGTAATTCCTCATTAACACCCAGATTTTTTTTTAAATTTTTAACTAGGCAAGGAAATGATCTCATCTTGGAGCAAAAATTAGATCTTGAGGAATTCCACGCAAAAGTGGAAATTTGGTCCTGCTGTTACTGACCTAAATATTCACAAATGTAAATTTCTACCCCAAAATGGCAGTGACACTAAAGGTAATGGTACTCCTATAGTTTCCACATTTTTTTCAAAAACCTCTTTTCGTTCAAGAAAAACCACAGACAATTGGGTTCATATATTGTGACGAAATGTCCACTTAATGGAATTGCCCCCCCCAGCTAAGAATACTTATACATACATGTACTGCGTATTTTCCCTAAAAGTTTAATCAACTGCAAGCCAGGCCTCGAAAGGCAAATTATCTGTGTACTTCTGAAGCTTTTCGAGGCCTTAAGAATCTAAAAGCATGCAGTAAATATATATATACAGCACTGAAGTAACAGTGGCTGGGTTCATCTATTCTAAAATAAGAATCAAAATACTGTAAAAACAAGTGTCCAGGTGTATACAGAAATGAGTGGGTAGATGGGTTTACACATCTGCAAAATTTATCTCCTACATTATTCGTAGGAATTTTAATTAATTAAATTGTAACTCAACATTTTACCCAATGCAGCAACACATACATGTACACAAACTGTTGGACAAGTAGAAAAGTGTAGTACCCCAAAGGATATCTAAAGTTGAACCTGTTCACATGAATTAACAAAATCCTTTGCCAACGCATGTTGTGGAATGTGTTGACAGGCTTTGTTATCTCTGCCTCCAAGTTTCAAATTCCGATAATGAACCTTTGAATGACAATAACAAAAGAGCCTAAATGAATTAATTTCACCAATTATGAAAGCTATCAGACAGGCACCAGGCATCCCAGACTCTAACCACAAATCTATCAACGCTGGTCATTTCCAGCAGACAGGCCCCTCCCAACACTGTACACAAAACTGAAGTGACCAGTTACAAAACTCCTCATCCATCATGCAGTGAACCCACAGTACATGCATGTACCTGTTCTGTGCAGTAGGCAAAAGAACCACACTGCTACATGTACTGTACATGTACATATACACGTACATGTATGCCTGTGAGATTCTCTGTCATCAGCCAATTTGGTTTATGGTAGGAGCAGGTGTTGGGAATCTGAATGGATGTAGGGTGAAGATGGGAAAGATACACGGTAGGGCCACGACAGATCAGGGGACTTTTGTGGAAAATGATTTTTTGACATTATGGGAGAATACAGTGCTACTGTAATATAGGGTCTGCCACAAACGTTAGTGTTTATCAGCCCAGTGATTATCATTTTTAAGTAGTTTGTTGAGCTCATTTTTATGGGGTAGGGAGGGATTAGGGTGGGGTGAAAACTAAGGTGTGAGGAATTTGTCCAAGGTGGTGGAGAATCTTTGTAAGATATAAGTTTTAAATCACAAAATCAAACAAAAGAATACCATTACTGTTTTTTTAAATAAGGTTATGCCAGTCCTTACGGAGGTAACTTTGGGAGGAAAGCATGTTTGCACAAGTCCCCAAAAATGTGAGACAGAAGGACACTAATACAAGTAATATTCCAATCGTGTGGGGTTCTACAAAACTGGAGGATTCGGGACTGTTTTATTGATTGATTAAAGCTGTAAGACCTCATTCAGAAAAAAAGTTGACACTGAGTGACTGTGCTGGCCACATCAATTAAAACTGGAGAAGCAGGTGCATTTTAATATTATTAGGAAGAGATGTCATTTTGTTTATACAATTAATGATTTCAGTTATGTTTTATATTGCTCATCCCTCCCCCAATGTCCCCCCCACCCAAGCACTGCCAATGTGAGTGTCCAACTCCATCCGCTTGCTTAATTCATAGAGCAAGGAACCTTGCTCTATGCTTAATTAGACACCTGCATATTTGCTGTAAATAACTGTCCTTGAATTAAGAACTAATTGCACATCATTAGCAGCTGGGTCCTATGGGTTTTTCCACAGGCGCTTGACTAGCCAGTGTCCACAACCTGGCATAAACTGTTTAATCACATTAATGCCTGTCTGTTACGCTCTGCTGCCTGTACTGACAGGGAAGACTTTGGGTCCTACAGACAGGGCAGGAATGGGGCAGGGCACAAGATTTCTGGAAGACATGAGTATACAGGAGCAAACTTGCATTTGTCAGTGAAGGCATGGATGAAGGAATAAAACAAGCCAAACTTAATAATGACAATTATAAGAGGTGGGAATGACACTGACCTCATAGAAAATTTATGGCTTCCAACTGTTCTAAATAATTGTTACATAAGAATTCCTCATTACCTGGACCAACAAATGCTGTATATCTCACAGGTTGTAGTCTGCCGATAAAGGCAAGCTGGACAAGAGGTAGGAGTAACACTATACATTGTTCAATTGTTGTACCCTTTAAGAATTCCTGACTTTTAACTTTTTCTAACATGAGAATTTCTCATTGGCATCACCAACAAATCTTGAGTTCACAGCAATGGAAGTTTGCAGAGGGGATTTAATCTCCGTTGCAGTCTAGACTAATTTCATGCCATTTGTTATCTATCCATGTGATTGATTGCATACATAAACTGAGACACATGATGCATGCCTTCATTTCCAAACTATCACAGTCAAGTGTGTACCTTGTCGACATGCATTGTACATGTACATGTACATGCATACTTCCTTATAACAAGCAAGCTGTTAGCTATGTTAGTGTGTACTTGAGGTGCACTTTTTAGTTCAGAACCTCTGTAAACTTTTCATCCCCTACAACTGTTTTTTTCAGAATATCCCCTCAAGGATTTCTAGTTCCAAAACAAGCAATAAAACCATAATTGCATCTTCCATCTGCCGGGGTACTGGTATATATTTCATCTTTCTTTCCTTCTTTCTTTTTGAAGGTGGGAGGTTGAAAACCCTCCATCAAGCTTCAGTGACTCAAAAGTGTGGCATGTCTCCTCGTAAAAATAATCATAACAAAATGTTGGTTATGCACACGATCTCAAACTATCTGTCATCAAGGGTTTTAGGCCAACACTTGTGGGGACCCCTAACCCCCATTTCGAGGATTTGGGAAGGCCTTTAGGTGGCTCTGGTTTGTTTTCAAAAGATTCAAGGCAAGAGTCTACAAACAGAAGAGACAATGGTCTTACTACAACTTCCAAACAATTCAAGAAACAGGGTAAAGCACGAAAAAAAAATTAAAGTGAATAATGGAAGGCAAGTCTTAAGCCAACAACTTCCTGAAAGTTTGAAAAACAAACAAAAACAGACATTACTGCAATTAAACAGCAGAGCAGACTTTTAGAATTAAGGTTATGGATGCCAAAATACTCCCCGGGAGGCAAACCAGCAGATACAAGAACAGTGCCAGCCCTTTATTAACCAATGTACCGAGTGAGAATATTGATTTTGGTTTTAATTTTTTGAGTCCCTATTTTTAACTGTTTATAGATTGCGACTGCAATGATCTTTTCTTCCTAATACTTTCCAATTTTAACCCTTTTAGTAAAGGTAATTGAAATTTCTCTATTATCATCCACCAAAGTTCAAACATATTTAACTTTTAACACTTTTTAACAGAATATCTCATAGCAATGTGGATTTTGTTCCCCTGAGTGCTTTAACAATAATCTTAATTTGATTTTTTGGTTATGTTTAATTGCCCTCAATTCAGCCTTGAAGCTGCAATGGAAGAGTGGAATAAACCATCATAATAAAAAAGGCAAACAAACTAAGTCACTTTCCATGTATGAAATGGAAAATCAAGTACAGATGATGAAAAGTGTATCATGATCAACTGTAGCTACATGTAAGTCCTTACCTGAAGTTTGACTCTACTACTATGGTCAACAATTTAGGAAAACTACCTGTTGGCGTATTATACCCTTGGTGCCCCCTATTCAATTGAATTGGCCCTGCTTTCCCTAAGTAAGATGGACTTTTGTCTAATTGCCCCTGCAAAGTTAGATAGCAGTGACTAGACCACTGGCTAGACTACAGGGCAGACATTCCAAATCACAGTAGTAAAGAGCTCTGTATCTTGGCGTCAGGGCATTAGCTTCTCTTGTGTAACTGAGCAACCAGTAATGGCCTACTTTTGAGTGGGGTATGTGGGTAAACAAGTTTATCTTCTAAAGTCTATTTGGTATGCTTGTCCCCCTTAAATCTCCCCAATCTATGGTACTCATTTGACTGTACATAAATTTTTAAAGTTGGTTGCTGAAAACAACTTCCAAATACCTCCTCAGTATTTCAGCACACACTTTCTCAAAACAAACTGTTTGTGTTACCCATTCAATAATTCCTACCTATGTTTTCCGGTTTCTGCTCATGAGACATATATGTACACGTATGCGACATAGTTTGTGCAGGTTACACTAAAAAAATGTCATTCTTATCTAAAAAAATGCTTCATTTGATAGACCTATATTATCTGTTGTCCCTGACTAAACACCCCATGCTACAAGCTTTGTGAAGGCCTACAATGTAAATGCTTGAAAATCAAAGGCCCTGTCAACTTTAAAGGCTCACAGTTTGCAGGAAATACACTTAGGATGCTGTTAAAAATTCTTGTGACCTTTGAAACATTTCCAGTAAAATTTCAAAAAAGCAAAGCAATTTGTTTGTATGATGCAAGATGTAAACCAATACCGACAGCTCAAGAAAGACAATGCAGGTTACATGTACGTGTAGTTGTACAACTTTCAATGATACCAGTGAGACTTTACAGTTATAACAGATATCAGGTTTGCAAGTGCAAAAATCATAGCAACAGCACATCCTAGTTTTTGAAGAATTAAGAGACCACTGAAGGTGAAGTGACACTGGGAATTAGATTGCTGCATAAAAGTAACAAATTTAAAAGTGTTTATTTCTTTACGATTTTATGAGAGTAGACTCTGCCAGTCTAGAAAATAACCTCTAATCTCCAAAATTCTG